TTTATAGAACCGACTAGCCGGACCAGCGCGTTGGGAAGTAGGTACGATGCCGTAAAAAGTACCTACAGAAAATGACGAGGAAACCACCCAGAGTAGTCCAGGATGCCGAGAGGGAGACAAATCAGAAGAAGATAAAGAAGGTAAAGACATACCACTTTCATTCGGAATGGGAAGAACAATACTTTTTTACAGAAGTTAAAGATAAAAATGTGTGTTTGTTATCTAATATTTCGGTCTCCGTTGCTAAAAAAGGAAATATTGAGAGACATCATAAAACTGTACATTCTAATTTTGAAAAATCATTCCCACTAAATTCTGCCGCCAGAAAGGAGAAACTGAAACAGTTAAAAAAACAGTTAATGGGACAACAATCAATATTTTTAAGAACAGTCGACAAAAATAAGGCTGCAACTAAAGCATCGTACCGTGTGTCCCAGATAATTGCACAAAAAAAGAAACCTTATGAAATGATCAAACAGGCGTTTTTAGAAGCTGCTGATTCGTTATTTGCCAACTTTATAAATAAAGACGACATAGTTTCATCTATAAAATCTATGCAACTTTCTGCTAAAACAGTGATGAGACGTGTAGAAGTAATGAGTAATGATATTTTTTTACAGTTAAGAACTGATTTAGATAAAAAAATATTATTTCTTCCGAGAAAATTCCAACATCGAAAATGGTAGGCTTGACAACTGATGGCGCTCCAGCTATGGTGGGTTGTGATAAGGGTCTGGTGGTATTATGTCGTAAAGATGAAACTTTTCCGCAATTTTTCTGTTACCACTGCATTATCCATCAGCAAGCATTATGTGGAAAATTCCTGAAACTAAACAACGTTATGAACTGGTGGTAAAAATTGTAAAAATGATTAGAGCTCAAGCGTTACAAAGAAGATTATTCAGAACCTTGGCCGATGAAGTTGACTGTCAATACGGGGACCTACTCCTTCACTCTGAAATTCGATGGTTAAGTAGAGAATGGGTGCTGAAACGTTTTAATGATGTCCTATCTAGCATAGTTCAATTTTTCAAACAACGCGATGAACCGACTTTGGAACTAGAAAATTCAATCTGGCTTAGAGATTTTGGTTTTCTCGTGGACATTACAGAGAAATTAAACAAACTTAATTTGCAGCTTCAGAAATCAGAAATGATTTCTGATATAAAAGCATTTATCAAAAAGCTGGAGTTTTGGGAACAAAACCTAATTAACAGCAATTTCAAGCATTTTCCAACTCTTTCAGAAAAAATATTTCAAAATCCATTAGAACCCTATGACAACAAATATCATGTAGAAATAATTTCTACCCTGAAGAGTAACTTCAAAAATCGTTTAAGTATTTCAATGAAATGGCTTTAGTAGCGCAGTTTGTTGTTTCACCCTTTATGGAAATTGATATCCAGCAGTTTGCAGCTTGTGTTATGCAGAACTTTGGCGAAGACATCGCTGCAAGAGAAATGGAAACAGTCATTGAGTCATGATTTAGCCTTAAAATCGTTAGTCTCAAGTACTGAATGTATCTGGCCTATTGTAAGTAAAGGCAAATATTCCGTTCTATGCCGTGTTGCCTTGAAAGTGAAAGCATTATTCAGTTCAACCTATTTGTGTGAATCTTCTTTTTCCAATATGAAGTTTATTAAGAATAAATATCGCAATCGACTTACAGATGAACATTTGGATAATTGTATTCGAATGGCTGCATCAAATTATACTGCAAACATTAAAAAAATTATCGATGAGTCTGAGTGTCAGCCTTCTCATTGAACATGCTTTTTTATTTTTCAGTGTTTATGTTTATAATAGTGCGTTACTTGTTTGTTGTTATTATTAATTATTTTTAAATCATACGTGACATGCCGTTGTGGCTGGATAAAACTTTGTGTTTATTTTTCACTTACCTTCGTTTGATATGTAGGAATGTAGCTATGAACAAGTATGTACTAGTAATATCGCACCCTCAGTGCAAGACTGCAGTAACTCGAAATTTTATGAAATTGAAGTAATCATGGAGTTAGATTATAAACATGCATATCTATTCCCTGTAAAACTTTAGTAACTTCTAAATGCTTAACCGGCTAAACATTACAACAACAACAGTTTAACTATTTTGCGTTTTTGTACATAAGTTCCATACAAAACTGTTGTAATTCTAATGTAACAGAGTTACAACAGTTTTGCACGGAACATTGCAATGGTTTCGATAACAAGCAATGAAAGGCACGAAAAAAGTAAGATATTTGTTATGCGTATGGACGTTACTTTAATATTTATATATGTGGTGTTTAATTTTAATATACAGTGTGTCTACGTAATCCATTAACGGCCGAGACAATGAACAATGATTTACGAGACCAATCTATTTATGTAAGTTTTATATCCTTTGTGTGACATTATATTTTCCATAAAATGTGTGCGATGTCATTTGACAATTTATTTATTAGATTGGATTTACAATTTGGTTATTTACAGCCAAAAAGTATTTTTTCTTATGAAAGGAAAAACAGATATCTTAAATCTTGTGTATTAATAATACTGACAGGTTAAAAAGATCTCAGAAAATTTCTCAGAAAACTTGTTTTATAAAAACTAAATCCCAACATATATTAAATCTTCATGTAACCTTCCGGGCCGATTGTCTTATCATATTGCTCCCCCGTAATTCCCAACTTTTACTAAGGTAGTAAATTTCAATCCTTTTGTTAATCTCTGTACTCAAGGTAGCCTAATTTGCATAATATTTTTATTATAGTTGTTTTGTTTTGAATTTAAATAAAAATATTGACAGTTTTACTAACAGAAAATGTATACACTTTTTACAATTTTCTCTGTGCAAAAGTGTTGTAACTTTAAAATTCTAATACTAAATGTGTAGTAATTAACAATTTTCTCCGTGCAAAAGTGTTGTAAGTTTGAAATTCCTAATTTTTTTACCAATAATATTATTTTAATTAACTTTCTATGTTTGGTCAATGTAATATAGGCTGAAAAGCATGAAATATTCATAATTAAATGTTAATTTTTCCTAAAACTTGTCGCTTATTTCAACGATATTAGTACGAAAATAAACAAAATCGTCTTTATCTCGAAACTAACTTATTCTGACTTACTGCAGTCTTGCACTGAGGGTGCGATATTAGTTATTTTGTTATTAGTTTATTATTAGTACCTATGTATTATGTATTACCAGTTAAACAGTAAAATAAATACATATAATGATAGATTAACTGTGGATTATTTCATTTACGTTGCGTTACGTGGCTTCCGCGTGGGTAGCTTGCTGTTTATACAAAAATTAACAAAGTAACTCAACACATTGAAGAGATTGGTGACCACTGTACTAAAAAATATGGTACCCTTAAATTTAAAGTCGACGTATGTGGGGTTTCCCGAAAATACATTCTATTGAAAGCATTTCAGGTATACTGTTTTAATTGAGCCATCCTGTATGTATAAATGTAAACGAAAAAATTAGATTCAGACCTACATATTATTGATTCCCATGCAAACGTCTTGTTAGACAAAAGGACATAGTTGAAAGAAAAGTAATTGGAACTGATTTTATTGATTTAGTAGAATGAAGATTCAGAAAAGGATATAGCACCACTGACCATCTTTTAACAATTAGGACACTGATAGAGAAAGCTAACGAATATCATTTAGATCTGCATTTAGCATTCGTTGACTATGAGAAAGCTTTTGATAGTGTGGAAATGTGGGCAATAGAAAGAGCTATAAACAACTGTAGAATAGATTCCAGATACAGAATGCTAATACACAATATATATAAGAAAGCAACAATGACAGTACAATTGGAAGAAAACACAAAACCTATACCAATTAACAGAGGAGTGCGACAGGGCGATGTTATTTCTCCTAAATTATTTACATTAGCACTGGAAGATGTTTTCAAAACAATGGAATGGACAAACATGGGAATAAACATAAATGGAAAGAAACTAAACCATCTAAGATATGCAGACGATGTAGTAATAATAACATCAAGTTTTGAAGAACTACAAACTATGCTAACCGAACTAGCCAAGGAATCTGAACAAATAGGCCTAAAAATGAATCTTACCAAAACGAAAACAATGACAAACACACAAGATAATAGAAACGTAATACTAAATGGAATCACAATAGAAGCGGTTAATGATTATATATATTTGGGACAGATAATAAAAATAAATAAGGAAAACCAAACAGCGGAGGTAAAAAGAAGAGTCAGATTAGCCTGGGCAGGATTTGGGAAATTAAAATGGGTCCTAAAGAATAAGAAAATACAACAGTACTTAAAAACAAGAGTGTTTGACCAGTGCATACTCCCAATTCTCACATACGCATGCCAAACATGGACTCTGACCAAAGCAAACATGGATAAGATAGTGAAGACACAAAGAGCCATGGAGAGAGCAATGTTGGGAGTAAAATTAAAAGACAAGAAGCAAAACATCTGGATAAGAAACAAAACAAAAGTCAAAGACGCAGGTCAACATATAGCCAGGCTAAAATGGAGTTTCGCAGGTCATAACGCCAGACAAACAGACAATAGGTGGAACAACACGATACAACATTGGAGACCATGGACAGGAAAGAGAGCAAGAGGACGACCCCAGATGAGATGGGGAGATGACATTAGAAAGATAGCAGGAATACACTGGAAACAGAAAGCACAAAACAGAAGCGAATGGAGGAAACTGGGGGAAGCCTATGTTCAAAATTGGACGAATTAAAGGGCAAAAGAAGAAGAAGAAGAGTATGTATAAATGTAAACGAAAAAATTAGATTCAGACCTACATATTATTGATTCCCATGCAAACGTCTTGTTAGACAAAAGGACATAGTTGAAAGAAAAGTAATTGGAACTGATTTTATTGATTTAGTAGAATGAAATTGAATTTCAGAATAAAATAATGCGGAACCGGGTAACATTTCGTCTGCGAAAGGAGATAAAATTTGACGGATTTAAACACTTAATGCTCTTACTATAAGACACGATGAATGATTTATACAAGAAAATGAAACTTTTACGCTTGCAAACGTGAGTTCTGAAAGAGACGTCATCACAAAGGTAATATCATTAAGAGTGTTATATAAAGTTTCCAACAAATTAGATAAACTGTTTCTTTCGTTATAAAGTAGCTCAATGTAGACGAATAAATGATTTAATAAGACTGATATATGAGACTGCGAAGTAAATTTCAGAGTAGGGTGGATAATAAGTATACAGTTGTAACTTTATATACTGTAAAGTGTTTCATTTAGATTTTGACATTTTAAAAAAGGCAAAGATAGTACCGAAGATATTTATTTTATTATAAACTAATTTATTATTCTATTCTACTAGTTAAAAATGTATTTCGAGTCTTGTTTTTTTATGGACTGATATGGACTTTCATTTTCATTGGAAATTTTCTATCAATCAATAAACCACTTACTTTCTTTTACATTATTGTTCTATTTCTAATTTTGCATGTATGTTCCACAAACGCCACTGTATTCTGTCTTGAGTTAGGTCTTCGTCCAGATTTCGAGCGCTAATCGCTTTCCTAATTCCTAGGTTCCAGCTCTGTGGTGGTCTTCCTCGTTTCCTCTTCTCTAGGGGTTCCCACATCATCGTTTTTTTAGGCAGTCTTTCGTTCCCCATTCGGCTCACATGCCCATACCATATGAGCTGTTTTCTCTCAATATCGTCAACTATACCCATTTTTTTTTTATCACTTTATTCCGTATTTTGTCGGCTCTTGATATTCCATCGATCTTCTAATGGCATCCATTTCCGTGTCTTCGATCTTTTTCTTATATTTCTCGGCTAAAATAAATGGCTTAAATAAATTAACACGTACAACAAATGTCTATAACCTCTATAAATATGATATTACAATAAATGTTCAAACTGACCCTCATTTTCTTCAATACACATTCGGTATCGTTTTAATAAGGACAACCGAATGCCCTAAAAAATCAGATTTTTCTGATGAAATTGATTTGCAGCTTCAATTATTCTAACCCTCAAATGTTGTTCGTCCTCTATTGTTACATAATACACTTTCTCTTTCATAAACCCCCAAAAGCAAAAAGTCCACGGGGTGAAGACCTGGACTTCTAGGTGGCCAAGAAATAGGTGCATAACGACCCCTTCCAATCCACCGACCAGGATACTGTCTGCAAAGGTATCGCCGGACTTCATTACTGTAATGCGGTGGAGCGCCATCTTGTAGAAACTACATATTTTGCCTTATTGCAATATTCACTTCTTCCAAATACTCTTGCAAATCGTTGCCAAGAACGACAGAATATTATTACAATTTAAATTGTTGGGAAGAAATACTGGCCCTATTAGATTGTTATCCACAATTCCTGCGCAAACATTAACTTTTAAAATATTTTGGTGATAAGTCGTTTTTTTTGGCATAAGGATGTTCATCGGCCCAAATATGCTCGTTATGATGGTTTGTTATTCAATTTCTACTGACGGTAGCCTAGTCGGTAAACAAAATATTTCTAATAAAACTAACATTTCGAGTGTTTTCCATTAACAACCAATCTCGCAAAATCCAATCCTTTTAGGATAATCTTCAACCAGTAACTCTTGAATCGTTGTTAAGTGATAGGGTTTAAGCAGCTGATCCTTCAAATGCTTCCAAACTTTTACGCGAGGAACATTTAGTTGAGCAGCTATTAGCCTTGAACTTGTTACAGGAACTTCTTTAATGATTTCAAAAATGTCTTTATCAGTTGCATCCATTACTGATAATTATTATACTATGATTGATATTATATATTATTATATTATGATGACTATTATATTTTTTCGTGTTTATTTCGTTGTGTGATCTATATTATATTTAGAATTTGGACAAAGGTTTATAAGTTGGATGATCCAAAGGATGATGAAGAGCTTCAGAGTATGTTTATCGATTCTGACGATGAAAAAAAAAAAGAAATGAGTTTAAAGACGAAAATACCAGTATATTTTTCTTTCGATTTTGTTATAGTGTATTGTTGGCTTTTTGCATTCGTCGTACTTTGAAAGTGCCAAAAGAATTATTTAAAGCCAAATTAGAGCAACTTATGTTTGCGAAGTCTGACGATGAATTGGAAGATGATGTCATAGTGTTTTCTGAAGGCGAAGATAGTGATATGGAGCCAGAAATCATTGAAAAATTGTCTGACGTCATTGAAGCCGATAATGAAAATGTTCAGCAAATTACAAACCAAGCAAACGTAAGAGAAGAGCCTGTCAATGAATCGTATTTAGCTAAAGATGGTATGCATTGGTCAAAAATACCTTATCCTCGGACACGAAGAATTGTAAAAAATATCTTGAAGAAACAAAAAGGTCTCACTACGTATAGTTCGAATTTTACCACTAGAATTGAAGCATTTTCGTTGTTTTTCTTAGACGATCTTTTAGAAATCATAGTATTTCAAACAAATAATAAAGCCGAGCAGCTAATATCTTTATTTGATAATAACTATTTATCAGTTTGTATCTTACAAATCATCAGATTGGAATTTTTTGTAATATGTTTCAGTTATTTTATTCTTATTGTTTATAGGTAATGGGATATAAATGGATTGTAATGTCATGGATAATTTTTTTTTAGATAAAAACAAATGGAACGAAACAAATCCAAATAAACCAGCACGTACTTGGCAGCTAACTGATCATATATAGATTCGCGCTTATTTAGGACTTCTGCTTAGTCAAGAAGCACTTCAAGCTACAAAAGATCCCCAAAAGATGTTATGGTGTACCGATAAAAAATACGCTAGGCCTATTATTCCGGCAAGTATGTCTCGTAATAGATTTCAGTTGCTTACAGCATTTATTCGTTTCGATGACTATTCTACCCGAGCTGAGGATAAAGCGCAGGATCTATTCGCACCTATTAGAGAGGTGTTCGATACTTTTGTGAAAAATTGTACTATGGCATACTCATCTGGACTGCATCTTACCATAAATGAAAAACTAGTTTCATTCCGAAGGCGATGCCATTTTCATGTGTACATAAAATGCAAGCCTGATAAATATAGTTTAAAAATTTGGGCGATGGCAGACAGCGAAAATGCTTACAGTATGAACTTGTTTAGTTGGAAGTGTATCTTGAAGTTTATCTTGGAAAAAAGAATAACGCACCCGAAAAAATCGAGGTGAATGAGAGTTGTCCTTGACCTTATTGAGCCACTTGGCTCTGGGTATGGCATAACTACAGATAATATTATTACAAGCTTACCACTGGCCGAAAAACTATCAAAAAAGGACTAAGCCTATGTGGTACTCTGCATCAAAATAAAGCATGTATTCCCAACGAGTTGCTACCCAAATCGTTTGAGCCCGTTCATTCAAAGGCAAATCGGTTATTTTATTATCCACTGAACATCATGATGATGCTGTTGCCGATGAAACATTAAATAGCAAGCCAGATATTATACTGCACTACAATCATACAAAAGGTGCAGTAGATACCTACCGCAGATAAGATGGTAAAGCAATACTCTGCTCGTAGGATATGCAACCGATGGCCAATGGCAGTGTTTGGCTAAATATTGGATATTTCTGGTCTAAACGCTTACATCTTATGGTGTATCAAGTACCCGGACTCATCTAGAGAAAAAGATGATAGACGTAATTTTTTACTAAATCTAGGAGAAGCTTTAATAAAAGAAAATATTACCAGGCGATATAATGAGCTGCAAAACTTAATGAACAAAATAACAGAAACAAGTAGAACCTATGGACTGGATATAAACACCAGCAAAACCAAGCTAATGATCATCAGCAAGCAAAACATAACTGGAGCAAATCTGTATGTGAACCAAATGAAAATTGAACGTGTCTCACAATACAATTACTTGGGAACTATAATCAATGAGTCGTGGGACAATAATCAAGAGATTAAATGTCACATCGGAAAGGCCAAAAGTGCATTCTTGGCTATGAGCTCTGTGTTCAAAAGCCATGACCTCACCCTGAAAACAAAAATAAGGCTCCTTAAATGTTACGTATACTCAGTGCTTCTGTATGGAGTAGAAACGTGGACATTGAAGGCGGAAACTCTATTAAAACTTCTGGCGTTTGAATTATAATTATACAGAAGAATCCTGAAGATACCATGGACAAACAAAGTCACCAATGAAGAAGTACTGCGAAGGATGAACACAACCGCGGATTTGGTCAACATTGTGAAGAGCCGTAAGCTGGAGTACTTGGGACATATTATGAGAAATCAAGGCAGATACGAGCTACTCCAATGCATTTTGCAGGGTAAAATCGAAGGAAAAAGAGCCCCAGGACGAAGAAGAATATCCTGGCTTGCTAACCTGAGAGCATGGTATAGAAAGACCTCAACGCAGTTATTTCGTATAGTAACCAACAAAATCATCATAGCCAGAATGATCGCCAACGTTCGGAACGGACAGGCACCCTAAGAAGAAGAAGATATAAAGAGGTAGTACGATTGAGTAAGACGTTAAAGCAGTACATGCAAGATGTCGTTCCAGAGTTGGCGCTAGTGAAGATGCAAATGGAAGCAGCCTGTGAACGATCTTCAAATGGACGTTGTTACTTATGTAGTCAAAATAAAGATCGTAAATCAAGGCAAGGCAATCAAGGAAGTAATTTGCACCCCATGCCAAGAAACTTCAGACTAGTTTTCGGTTTTGAGATTTATTTTTTATTCCTAAAGTTAATTTAATCAAATGATAAAAATTATTTATTTGTTGGATATACCCTTTGACGTCATATAAATTTGTTCTTAACATAAAAATTAAATATACGCATTTTTTTCTCTGGGGTACAAATGGATCCCACATGGGACTCCAGGTAATTTTACCGACGCCGAAAGACGAAGGTTAATAATGCATTTATTGTATTTTCTCTTGTCAATAAATTAATTCAAATCCGCTTATTTTTTAGAATGTTTTGTTAAAAAAAAACATTTCTTCCGATTGCGATTAGTTTTTTTTAATCTTATTGAAACATTAAACTTAAACGAACGTATCTCTGAGATACACCGCGACCTATACAGTATAGTTTATGACCGCTACCTCCGAAGGGCTAAAAGTTTTTCTCTTTCTTTTTCTAGTTTAAAAGATTTTTAACTTTGATAAAAACAATTTTTAGATAAAACGATTTAAATAAAATCATTAAGTTTTTTTTTTTTAATTTCATGATACCCTGTATTTCTTATTCTTAATGGAAGAACGAGAAAAGCGACACATTACTCAGACAAATAACAATTCTCGATTTTAAGGCTCTCTTTTACTTATTTAAAATTATTACTAGCGGGGAAAATGACTTTTACACAATTATGAAAATGATGTATTAATTCATACTTAATTTAAAATGAGGGGTTGGACACTATCTGAATATATTTCAGGAATTAAATTGAAAATTAAAGAGGTCGCAGTTGGTGGGGTGTACATCAAGTCTAACACCCTTGGGGGAGAAAAAGATTGCTTCCTTTCAGGCACCTATAATTAACACATACACTTGTCGTTTTTTGTCAGCACCCTAAACTATTCTTAGAAACTAGGATACGGTGAAGTTAGATAATCTTACGTTTCACTTCGACACTACATTTAAAGCAAGAAACAATAATATATATTTGTCAATCTCATTGTCAACTTATGTTAAAATTAAATAACCTGTCTTTGTTTCTATCTCTATATACATTCATATGTTCACATATTGTAGAATATATACAGGGTGGACGAAAAGTGTGAAATGCCTAATTATCTCCTTATGCTAGTTTACTATTAAGTAGGTTATAACATGAAAAATATTACAGGCAACCTCATCCATTAACACAAAATTTACATGACACTGAATCAAACTATTAGCAAATGGTCACACTAGGCTAATAAGAGATCTAATTAATTTTTTATTTACAGCAGAGCTTTGACGCTTCAGGAAGCCCTGGATTATGGTTTATAACAATGACAATGATCTATCCGGCATATATGTAAGTCCACCTGATCCAAATGTTTTGAATGACAAAGATTCGGCTGACAAGAATAATGGTGGATTTGTAGATAACCTGTCCCGAAGACAATTATTAGCTGAAGCCGAGCTGGGTTATTTCGATGGTGCACCAGAAGACAATAGTGTTTTTAAAGAGATGAAAGATGAGCAAACACCACGTATGTCATCTCTTGATAAAGAATCTAATACTAGTTTTTTTGAAATCACTAAAGGGAAAAAAGTATACTAAAAGAACTTAGATCGATGGATCGAAAACATTCGATTTTCACAAAGCAGACTACTACTCACAATTTAAAAATATGAGCCCACACTATAAATTTTTTTAGTTGTTTTTTGATACCGTAGAATGGGGTGACTTTGATTCTATAAGGTGACTTTGATAAAACATGAATATTTTGTTTCAAGAGAGTATACAACCCAAATGTTTCGTCCGTTATGGTGGTTGTCTGAACTTTATTTCAGTGCACATGTTGATTCACTATAGCAAAAGGTGTTATGTGGCCAATATCAAAAGTATACGGTTGTAAATTCACCATTGGAGTTTTTGTTTGAATTTGAAGATTTTATATTGTGTTACTAAATTTAAACATACAGCTCTTACAATAGAATTGCAGGTAATTTTGTGTATGTTGCCTTAATATAAGTCTAGTTGTCACTATTTTAAAATATTTAACCTAACTTATTTCCGTAACTACTCCATGAAATTGAATGATTTCTTATCCGGGGTCACTTTGATACATTTTTCGGGGTGACTTTGATACTTTATTTCTTTTTATAGTTTGCTTTATGAAACTTCAAACCTTCAATTATTTTAAAACTTCAATTCATTAAAACTTCAATTATTTTCAGGATTTCGTCATTATCTGCATGAAAAAAAATGCTGCGAGTTTATAAACGAAAGTTGGGATCAAGAAGCTACAAGAACTTCTCTGACGAAACTCTTGAACATGCTCTGCTTCAAATAGTAAACGGAAACTTGTCTGTTAAAGCCGCGTCAGAAAGATTTAAAATTCCGTATGGTACTTTATATAATAAATACAAAGGGAAGCATGTGAAGAAGCCAGGGGGCCAAACTGCGTTGACGGAGCTGGAGAAAAAATCAATCGTGTCCTGCATTGTCAAATGTGCAGATTGGGGATTTCCATTATCGACGCTAGATGTACAACTTTTCACTAAGAGTTATTTAGAAAGAACTGAAAGAATTATCTCTAGATTTAAAAACGGGGTAAGTCCTGGTAACGACTGGGTAAAACTTTTTTTAGAGAGACATAGTCAGCAAATCTCTAAACGACTTGCGTCTAACATTACTAGAGCTCGGGCAGGTGTCACAAAAGAAACGATAGAATCATATTTCAATAATTTAAGAACAACTCTCTCAAATTGCCCTCCATCACACGTTTTCAATTACGATGAAACCAACGTTAGTGATGATCCGGGGAAAAGAAGATTGCTTTATAGAAACCATGGGACCAAATATCCAGAACAAATCACTAATCATAGTAAAGCCGCCACATCAATAATGATGTGCGGTGCTGCTGATGGTACACTACTCCCTCCTTATATAATATATCGCAGCGAACATATGTGGGATGCATGGACATTAGGAGGTCCACAGGGCTCTCCTTGTTGTAGTAGTGGATGTTGCGCAAGAGGAGCTAGATATAACCGAACAAAAAATGGGTGGATGGAGGTAACTTGTTTTACAGACTGGTTTGAGACCATATTATTACCCCACGCAAGACGGCTGGAAGGTAAAAAAGTTATGATCGGCGACAACTTGGCGTCTCACTTTTCAGATCATGTTTTAGAATTGTGTGAATTGCACAATATTGAATTTGCGTGCCTTCCCAGTAATTCAAGACACATATGCCAGCCTTTGGATGTGTCTTTTTTTAAACCCATGAAAGTCTCTTGGCGAAAAGTTTTGACGGAATTTAAATTGCGACACCCAAAAATTACTGGTGTACCTAAAGATCAATTTCCGTCGTTATTAAAAAAATGCTTGGAATTAATGGATCAGACAATTGCAAAAGCTGAGTACAAATGTGGAGATTGTGAAAAAAGTGCAATTAAGAGAGTTGTGAAGAATGGGTTCGAGGCTTGTGTCATGGTCCCTTTCGATCCAAATAAAGTCTTGAGTAAGATTACACCAATCAACCATGATGTGGATTATGTAGAACCTCTGATTAACGACAGCCTCACAGACTATCTGATGAATAAGAAGTCCGAGATAAAAGTTACTAAATGGCAAAGTAAAAAGAAACTTCATATCCAACCTGGTAAAAGTGTAAGTCGACATATAACGGCAAATGACAGCTCCTCTGATAGCGAGTTAAACAGCTATAATAGTGAAAGCGAAAATGAAATTGAAAATGAAGATTCTGTGGAGGACCAATCATATGAAGATGAGATGAATACAAAACCCTCCCTTGCTGAATTGAATGTTGGAACTTACGTGCTTGTAAAAATTATGTCAGGTAAACAAAAATGTAGAAATTACGTATATGCCGAAAAGATACAAGAGAAATTACCTTTTGACGAATACGAACTCATTGGACTTAAATCACTGGATGAGACCCATAAACATTTTAAAGTTGTGGAGACCGACGTTTTTAACGCTCCTTTCGATGATATCTTAGCAATTCTGAAGACCCCATCGGTTGAAACAAATGAAACAGCAACTACATGTACATTTCCTGGCAGAGTTGATGTTAAAGAAAAATAACTTTGATTTTGTTTCCGTTCAAAATACATTCTTTTGGCTTTTTTTACTATTTTATACTGTTTTACTAATTTGCTAAAATGTTTTTTACCTGAATAAAGTATTAGCTACCTGTAAAATTATTTATTATATACTTACTAATTATTGTGCCTATAGCAGCTGTCAAAGCCACCCCAAAAATTAAAATTGAAATATCTAAAAATTGGCTTGATCGATTTAAAAATGGGTTGACATTGACACCAATACAGCTTTTATGCATCGTCCAAGCTATTTTAAAATAGGGTATCAAAGTGACCCCACATCAATGGGTGATTTTGATATACCATTACTTATTTTTTTTGAGAAAATCCTCAATTTAAAGATATATATATATATATATATATATATATATATATATATATATATATACTAACAGTATAAATTACATAAACATAAGATGAATCCCAATGGACATTTTTCCACATTTTTGGGATCACCCATTCAAAAGTTACCTAAGAAAATATAAACAAAATTAACAAAGTCACCCCGTTCTACGGTAACGAAATGCTAGGCTATATTTTAGATGAAACCAGAAAATACGCTCTTTTTGTGAATTGACCTGATCCGAAGATTACCTTGGACGAGCTTAAATGTCTTTTGGGTATTTTCATTGTCATCATTTCAACTGTCATCCTGGAAAAAGGTTTTATTGGGACAATGGAGCAGACATTTCGAATAAAATGGTGAAGGCTGCAATGCGTGGCGACAGGTTTATCTAAATAATGCGTTTTATGCACTGTGCTGATAATACGCAAAAAGATTTGCATGATAAAATGTGGAAATTGAGTTTTTCTCAAATATTATCAACCACCTGAAAATATGAATTATGATGAGTTGATAGTGAAATATTATAGTCGCCATAATTGTAAATAATTGATCAGGGAAAAACTGATAAGATTCAGTTATAAAATATAGTGCCTTAACTTCGAAACTAGTGACCTTGTAAATTTTGAGATTTATCGAGGGAAAAGCACAAATTCCAACGATTTTTACCAACTTGCATTTGGAAAGGCAGCCGCTCCTTGTCTCGATGTTGAACACTTTGCCACAACAAAAGCTGCCTGACCAAATCTATGTAGTTACTGGATTTAACTTAATGGTGTATTTAAAAGAAAAAGGATATGATGTCACAGGAACAATAAGAGAGAGCAGATAACCACAAGATTTTTCATTTGTCGATAAAAAAAACTTTGATCAAACAAACTCGAGGTTATTTGGTTTCAAAAGTTGACAAGGAAGATGGTATTATGTTGACAAAATGAATGGATAACGTAGTCGTAACAATGGCATCAACTTTATATGGTGTGCATCCTATTCAACAAATATAAAACGTTATTCATATTCTAAAAATAAAGTTGTCCAAGTTCCTCGTCCACCTGTTGTTGGAATGCATAACACGTTTATAGGAGGTACCGATCATATGGATGATCATTTAAGAAGATACTGTATAATACCTTACATGGTTAATTGATGCTACTGTGCAAAATTCGTGGATACTTTATAAGTATTCAGGAAGACCGACAGCTAATTTGAATTTTCGATGTGAAATCGCGACTACTTACCTTATTATATACAGAAACCTTCCCATTAGACCTGATAGACCAACAACAAGTAGAAATAGTCTATCTTTTAATAGAATCTTTGACAACATTAGGTACAATGGCATTAACCATCTCATTATACCTGTTTCTAACAAAAAACGAAGGAAGTGCACAGGAAAAGTCTGCTGCTCAATAGGTAGTGTGAGAGATGCGATATTGTACTATATATATTGAATGCTTTGGCATATTTCATAAAGAGTAAATCTTATAATTTTTATAGTATTTTGACCTAATGTTACCATATGGTCACAGTTTGTAATGTCATATATTCGATAAACACTTACTTAGTCCTAAGTCTTTCTACCGTTAAGTTTAAGGCTGGTAGAGTTAAGTTTTGCACTGTTGTCTCTATGCTTTCCGGTCTTGTGTTAGATTTCGTGCACTTTCCCAAGTCAATCCTTTCTTCTTAACTTTTCTGATTTCGTCTACCCACCTAACTCTTGGTCTTCCTCGTTTGTTTTTCCCTTGCACTCTCGTTTCAAACACTCGTTTTGTTAATCTTTCATTCGATATTCTGCACACGTGCCCGAACCATCTTAGTTGCCCTCTACTATTTTTTCGTTTATTGGTTCTAGTTTAACGTTTTGTCTGATTATTTCGTTTCTTATTTTGTCTGTCCTCTTTCTGTCTGCTATTTTACTCAGGAACCTCATTTTCATAGCATTGACTCGGGATTTTTGTCTCCCAGTCAATGTCCATGACTCGGTATTATACATGATTGTAGGTCTAACTACTGATTTAACAACTGCCGTTTTTACATTCTCTGGTATTTCTTTTTTCTCCAAAAATGTTGTTT